CTTAACGCCTCGTACGTCCATTATAAAACACATTTCCAAGTGAATGTTACTGAAAAATGCACAAAATGAGTCATTTTTTTCAGTTTTCAAAGATTATTTAGCTATTGCAGTTATCAAACTTTGGCGGCCATTTTCTCGCTATTTTCAACATTGAAAAATTACGACCTCATTTCCTTCAATAGCAAATATCTTGAGTTCTATTTGTGATAAATGGAGGTTTATTTCACTGGGGGCAAGGCAAGGCAAATAAATCAGCTTTCATATATTTCCAATAACTGCACATGGCCAAAAATTGACGAGTGCCTGATTCCACCGCGTCGTGACACAATTTATTAGTTCTATCTGACCCAGTTTTCCAGAGGGCAACTGAACTTATGGTGCGGTCAAACATCCGTGGAGTAACTTGTAGTCAAATATCTCCTCAACTATAGACTATAAGCTCTGCAGCTTTTGCACCGTGACTTGTATCAATTTGTCATAACTGATCAATATTTTTGTAAACACCTATTAGCTCTATTCTAGAAAATTCCATAGTAAATACTTATTTTGAAAAATCCCAGTGGGTGGTTTCTACACATTTAAAAAGGTTTACAGCTGGGACTATGTTGCTTTTAAAAGCAAGTCCGTAATTATTATTTTTCTAATCGCAAGGTTATCCGTATTGGACGTATTTTTTGAGGATTTTTGTGGGCAAAAAAAGTGTTCACTGTAAAATTAATTTCTTGTCACTAGTTTTGCCATTAAAAAGGGTCATAGGTGAGCTGTGACGTATGAAAAGTGTGTGAGAAACGGAAAGTGCTGTGAACAATCCCATTTTCCGCGAGAAAATATTATGACAATTTTTATGCTTAATGAGTATGCTGTATATCCCTTATTATATTTTTGACCCGCTTTAGGCTTACATCAAATAAAACGTGTCGGAACCTTAGTTTGCAGTGACCTTTATAAATGGGCTTTTAGATTCTGTTGGTCATCCAACTTTTAGACTCGTATGCAATGATCTGAG